ACTTCCTCAACATACATACCACTTACTTGCTGATCGGTATCGGGAAATACTGAAACTGGCTTCTCATGAAACTTTTGGTCCCGGGGAACAAGGTCTTGTAGGTCCATCTCATTAAAGATTTGTTTAGTTGAAAGGCAGAGTTGACAGGGAGATCTTCCATCTGCTACTTCACTCCCCAAATGGCCACAATGGAAAGCGTTAGGCCAGGCCAAAGGCAGAAGCCTGGAACTGCATCCGGGTCTCCCAAAGTGGTGCATGGACCCAAACACTTAGGCCTCATCAACTGTTTTCACTGGCAGATTAGCAGGGAGATGGAATGAAGTGGAGCATTGGGACTCGAACCTGTGCTCACATGGGATGCTGGCATTGTGGGCTGCGGCTTAACTGACCGTGCCATAGTGCCAGCTCCTATCAGGCCCATTTCTAAAACATTGGAGATCTTTTGGGAAGATCACTTCGGTCAGACCTGCTCGGTAAAGCAATCCCAACAGAGTTCCTTTCCTCTGCTGCTTCACTGCTCGACTGCCTGCAACTGCTGGGGCTGGGCCAGGCCAAAGCTAGGAGCCGGGAACTCAGTCCAAGCCTCCCACGTTGGAGGAAGGGAACCAGATGATTGAGTCAACATCTACTGCCTCCGTGTGTGTGCATTAGCAGGAAATTGAATCGAAACTGGTGCTTGGTCATGTATGGAATTTGGATTTCAAACCAGGATTTGGTTCCCAACTGCATCACGTACTCTAATCTGTCATTAAAAATGTTGTAATCTGTGTATGCCTTCATTCTCCTTCTGTTTTCTCCGTTGCAGCCTTACACTTCTAGTCATCTACGAGACCCTCATCCACCCAGTTTCCACCATTGCACCACCATCCCTCCTACTCTATGTTAGCTTCAACCTACTTGAGGGCCTACATACTTGCCTCCCACTCTGTCCTCTCTGTATATCCTCCCATTCCTTCTGGCCCACCACGTTGGACTCACTTTCCTCGTAACCTCGAACCCTTGGGGAGAGCCTCAGGTGGCCACTGGGCTCACAGCCCAAGAATGTCCAGAAGATTCTACTTGTTCTTCCTTCCTCATTGTACCCCCCACCCCATCCCAGCTTAGGTGGCAACTAAGGCAGGGATGCCTTTGCCTACCCATCTGCCAAGACTCCCTGTAGCACCTGCTCCTCAGCTGTCTACCTGGCCAGCCTGCACCCTTCCTTGGAGCTCTAGAGCCCCTCAGACCAGGATGGTTTCAGGCCCTTGCTGGGTGGGAGCTCATCCACCTACCCCTCTGGATGGGCAGTGGTTGTAGGTTTTGAGGCCACAGTGCATTTGGTATTATGTACTAGGAGCATAAGGACTACTAGCTGCATGGAGCTGAGGTCAACAGTGGGCTCCCAGCCATGTCCACCTTCTCAGTGCCCCCATAGCCGTGTATGGTGGCATCTCCAGCAATACACCGCCCCTCCCATCAGTGAGCAGACAGCCTCATGGGCTCCTGAGGGACCACGGCCACCAGCAGGTATGGTCTCTTATGTTTATTTATCTCTCTCTCTCTCTCTCTCTCTCTCTCTGTGTGTGTGTGTATGTGTGTGTGTGTGTGTGTGTGTGTGTGATTTTTTAAAAATAAGCATTAGTTGATGTTAAAACAGAGAAGGGAATGGTTGTTTTTCTGTCTTAAAAACTGTTCAAAAGAGAAAGAAGAAAACAGGCATGTACCAGTTCAAACAAGAACAGATCCCATAGATGGATCAATCCCTGTATTCCTGCAACTCCTGGAACATGACCAGGCTGAATCTGAGAACCAAGGCTTTGAAGCACAGTTCAGGTCTCCCAAGTGGGCAGATGTGAGATAACTACTGGAGTCAGCATCAGCTGTCTCACTGGAACCATGTTTGTAGGAAGCTGGAATCCCAGGATGAAACCCAGAATTAAACCCAGGCATTGTCTTATTGGACCTACATAGGCCTCTTCCTAGCCTCTTAACTGTTTGGCTAACCGCTGCAAGGATGGTTCCCCTCTTCTTTGTCCCCTTAGTGCATGCCTGTAAGGAATGAGTTCCTTACATTTTCATCCTGTAGTTACTAACTCAGTAATGTGCCAAGTACTTTACTGCTGTATTCTATCATTCTAATAATTGTCAAGATTTCTTCCATAAAAAAGGTTAAAAAGTGGAAGAAAGGAATCAGTTAAGGTTTTAAAATTTAATAAAAGAAGAAAAGTGTGACTCCACTGAACATTTGGCCAAATATATGATTCCAAGGTGAATGTGGATGCCTTTCTTGTCCTAATGAAACTGAAACAGTTGGGGCTGTCCTTTTGTTTGTACAACTTAGATTTGAGAGGCTGATGCCTGTGTCCTCAAAGTATGACATTTCAGTTGTCAAATGTAGCTACGCAAAGATTTCAGAAAATGATAACCTCGGGGAGTAGTAAATATGTGTGTCCCTGACAGCGGTTTCGTTTAGTTGTGTTTTGATGAGTGGAAACCATACATGAAAATTGATTGCAGGAAATAACTTATGATATCCTTGCTTTTAGTAACATACATATAAAATAATGAAGATTTGATTTATGGTAATGATTCTACAATCATATATGTGGGCCTGACCTCTTTGATTTAAGCAGCTACTGCATAGAGATGCAAGCACCTTCATTGAAGCATTGAAGTTAAAAGTCATGTTAGTATTCTTGTCTGCCACTTCTTAAATATATTCCTTTCTCTGTTGTGCCTGTGTAGTTATTGCACAGAGTGGGAGAAAATGATTTAGAAAGTGTTTCTTTTAGTTTCTGAAAGACAGTGTGTATAATTGTTGTCATTTCTTTGAATATTTGGCATAATTCACCTCTAAAACCATCAGGGAGTAGAGAGCTATCTTTCAGAAGATTTTGCCAAACTAAAAATTCTATTGCTTTGATATTTATAAGAATCATTAATTCATTTCATCTTGTTTAAGCTTATAGTTTATAGCTTTCAGGGAAATGTATTATTTCAGATAAAGTGTTAAGTACATAAAGCTCAGCAGAATTTTAGCTCACTGTCTTTCTTAAAAATATTTATTTATTTATTAGCAAGTCAGAGTTACAGAGAGATCTTCCATCTGCTGGTTTACTCACCAGATGGCCACAACGGCCAGGGCTGGACCAGGCTTGAGCCAGGAGCTTCCTCTGGGTCTCCCACGTGGGTGCAGAGGTGCAAGCACTTGGGCCATCTTCCACTGCTTTCCCAGGCCATAGCAGAGAGCTGGATCAGAAGAGGAGCAGCTGGGACCCAAACCATCACCTATATGGGATGCCAGTGTTGCAGGCAGCTTTACCTGCTACACCACAGCACTGGCCCCACTTACTATCCTTCTAATGTATATGTGGTGTGTGGCACCTCCATAATTTGTCTTCTCTTTTTCTTTATCATTGCAATAAAGATATATCAGTTTTGCTGACGCAGTTTTTGTGTTCACTAGTTTTTTGTTTTGTTTTCAATTTTAATCTGTTTCACTCTTTGACTTATTAGTTGCTCCCTTATGCTTGGCTTAGTTTATTTTGCTGTTCTTTGTTATTTTTTAAACTAAAAATTATTGTTGAATAGATATCTTTCTTCTCTTCTAATAAATGCCTTTATTGCTATGAATTTTACTCCAAATACTGCTTAAGTTGCATCTGTATAACTCTGATACATCTGCATTTTAAATTTTTTAAAGTTATATCCTTTTCTAATTTATCTTGAGGCTTCCTCTTTGACTTAGGGATTTAGAAGTGTATCGTGGGGCCAGCACTGTGGCCTAGCATGTAAGGCTGCCACCTGCAATGCCAGCATCCTATATGGGCACCGCTTTGAGTCCCGATTGCTCCTTTTCGTATCCAGCTTTCTGGCCTGGGAAAACAGTAAAGATGGGCTATGTCCTTGGGCCCCTGCACCGCATGGGAGACCTGGCTCCTGGCTTCAGATTGGCTCAGCTCTGGCTGTTGCTGCCAATAGGGGAGTGAACCAGCAGATGGAAGACCTCTCTCTCTCTCTCTCTCTCTGCCTCTCCTTCTCTCTCTATGTAGCTCTGCCTTTCAAATAAAATAAATAAATCTTTAAAAAAAAAAGGAAGTGTGTTGTTTTACTCCAAGATTGGAAGTTTTCCAGCTATCTTTGTAGTATTAATTTATAAATTAAATAAATTTACATCTAATAACATTCTTTATAGCATTTAGTTTCTTTAAAAAAATTTGAAAGTCTGTTTTATGATGAAGAAATGGGCTACATTGGTGAATTTCCTTACGGACTTAAAAAATGGGTCTTCTGTTATTTTTGGGTGCAGTATTCTAAAAACATCAGTTATACCCATTTGATTGAAAGTTTGATGCAATTCTTCAATATCCTTAACTGATTGTCTTCTAGTCCTATCTGTTACTAACTGATGCGTCAACAATTACAAATAAAATTGTAAATATTTCTATTTCTCTTTCGATTTTCGTCAACTTTGCATAGTGAAGTTATGTTGCTATGTAATATGCATGTAGAATCATTTTATTGTTTTTTTTTTTAATTGCACCTTTGGGCAACATGCCATGACCCTTCTAACTCCTTCTAATTTTCTCTGCTCCAAATTGTACTTTCTCTAGTATTAATACAGTCGTTCAAATTTTTTGGATTAATGTTGCACAGGATGTATTTATTTACCCCTTTTACTACTTTATCTATTTCGATGTATTTGAAGTAAGTTTGTCATAGACAGCATCAGGAGGGGTCATTTAAAATAAAATCCTTTCTGAAAATTTCTCTCCTTCACTTGCTGTGTTTAGGCCAGCTGCATTCAACATACTCATTGATAGTTTTGGATTTAGCCCAATTTCATCATCTGTTTTTTGACATTGAACTCCTTTATTTCAGTTTCTCCTTTCTTGCTGTCAGGTGACTTGCATGGTTTTTCATTCCATTTTAATTTATCAGTTGTGATGTATACATTATCTGTTTCTATAGATTGTTAGTGACTGCCCTCAGAAGTATAACACACACTTTCTTTTTCATAGGCTCGTAACAGTTTTGCCGTATCAGGGAGAAATTTTACCATCAGGTAGGTCCTTTCTTTTCTCTTCTATGTCATAGTTTTCTTACATATTCCACATATCCCAACAATCCACATTAAAAATTCATCAGGTGAATGTTATAATTTTTGGTTCAATCATTGAATCAATTTTGTTTTAAAAGATTTATTTATTTTACTTGAAAGTCACAGTTACACAGAGGGAGAGAAGGAGAGATCAGAGAGAGAGAGAGAGAGAGAGATGTCTTCCATCCTTCCATCCCCTGGTTCACTCCCCGAGGACTGCAATGGCCAGAGCTGCCCCAATCTGAAGCCAAGAGCCAGGAGCTTCTTCCAGGTCCCCCATATGGGTGCCGGGGCCCAAGGACTTGAGCCATCTTCTACAGCTTTCCCAGGTCATAGTAGAAAGCTGGTCGGAAGTGGAACAACCGGGTCTCAAACCAGTGCCCATATGGGATGCCGGCACTGTAGGAGGCAGCTTTATCTGCTATGCCACAGCACCGGCCCTCATTGAATCCATTTTAAAAACCTATTGGGGCCGGCACTGTGGTGCAGTGGGTTCTCAGAGAACGTGGTGGTGAGACGGTGTCACTAGTCAGGGTTAGGGCCTGGAACTCTTCCTCTCCTGCAGTGGAAGGCTGTGTCTTTAACTGTCAGTGTGATGACATCCGCCTTCCCAGAATGCACCTGTCACATCCAGGTCCAGGATGCGTGCTCGCACCCCAACACATTCGTGGAGCTACTCGGAGGGCGCACCAGCCGGAAGGAGCTGCACCTCCAGCGCGGATGAAGGCTGCCGTTTTCTCTCTTTCTCCGTGGAGCGCTGCACACCGGGAGCCAGGGACCGCTTGTGCGTGCTTTTCCCCGTGCAGAGCCGTCCACCTTGGTGCTTTCCTGCTCTCTATCTCCGACGTGTGCATGGACCAACCAAACCGTAGGTACCATTTTCGTTTTTTTCTCTTTCTCTTGTCCACGGGCAGTTCTTTGGCCCGCTCTTGTTGAGCATTTCTCTGTGCGGGGCAGCCCATCCTGGGCCTGAATGTGTGCGTGTGTTTCCTGGGTGCTACATAACCTCCTTCCTATTTGCACGTGGGGCCGGTCTGCATTTTGTGTTTCTGTCTTGGAAGGAGACAAGAGCCTGCACCAAATTTAATATAATCTGGGTTCTGGTTCGAGTCTCGGCTGCTCCACTTCCTATCCAGCTCCAGCTAGTGCCCCTGGGAAAGCAGCGGAGGATGGCCCCAGTACCTGGGCCACTACACCCACATAGGAGACAGGGGTAGAGACAGGCTCCTGGCTTCGCCCTTGGCCCTGGCCTGGACATTCTGGCCATCTGGGGAGTGAACCAGCAGGTGGAAGACCTTTCTCTCAGTCTCTCCCTCTCTAACCATGACTTTCAAATAAGTAAATAAATAAATCTTCAAAATCATTAATATGTTCATGGCCCACATAGTAGAACTCTGGGAAGTAAGCTCATGAAGAGTGAGGAGACTTTTCCCATCCCGCTCCTCTCCAGAGCCCCTGATGGAGGTTGGGATTCTCTGCCCCTGCTGCTTTGTCTAAAATTTTGGTCCGGAGTGATTCACCCTGTGAGCTCTTTTCTCCGACCAGGCTAGGAAAAGTTTTTGTTTTTGTTTTGAGTTTGTGCAGTGTTTTTTCACTTGTTATGCATATGAACTGATGATCTACAAGCTCCTTAGTGTGCTGGACTAGATGCCAGCGAGGTTATTTTATGTTCATGCCTGGTAACATCTTATTGAAAGTTGGACATTGTATTAAAAACTTATGAAGGCTCAGAATGATAATCTCATTGCCCAGAGATAATTCACTCTATCATAGACCAGGCAAATAGCATGAGGGTCATAACTCAATCTTTTGGGGTGGCCCTGGCTCGAGTCTGCATTTCCTTCCTTAGAAGAGTCTGGCTTCGTCTCCACCCCTAGGCTGTGGACCTCCAGGGATCCTAAGTGAAAATCAGCGACGTTTACCAACGCCTCCTGATGGCTGATTCTCAGAACCGTAAGTTGGCCTCTTACTAAAATGACCAAAACCTGCACTCCTCTTTCCCATTCTTTCTTCCCCTCTACTTCTTAGTCTGTTAACCTAATGTTGTAGTAGGAAAACTGGCATCTGGTCTGCTTGTGTTTTACTGTGACCTGCTGTTCTCCGGGATTTTGGTCCCTCAAGGTCTAGATGCTGGAAACTGGCAGTTAGCCTAGTGGCTCAAGTGCCCACATCCCACGTCACGGTATCTAGTTTTGATTGCTGGCTCTGGCTCCTGGCTTCAGCTTCCTTTCAAGGCAGACCCAGGGAGGCAGTGATAATGGCTCAAATAATTGTTGTTTTTTTTTTTTTTTCTACTCACAAGGGAGACTTGGATGGAGATACTGGTTCCCAGCTTCATCCTTGGCTGCTGTGGACATTTGGTGAATAAACCAATGGATGGGAGTTCTCCCAGCTCCCTGAAATAAGTAAACATCACCATTGAAAAGATCTGGATGTTTTCATTGGCCCAAACTCCACCTTTTGTTCCCCTGGTTCTGATATGTGGAAAGCTCTGCCTGGGTAATGATCTTCCCTTGGCTTCTGGTCCATTCTCTGGCTGGGTTCTCAGCTCCTTGCTTCAGACCAAAGTGGCTACTGCCAGTGGGAAGCACCTCACACCATTCTCCATGGGACTGTGGCCCTCAACTCCTGGATCTTTCAGTAGCTCCCAAATAACCTGCAACCAGATGCTTTTGTTTCATGCAGTTTTTCTGGTTGTTGTTCTTGGAAATGTTGGTCTTAGTAGAAAGGGAAGACCTGGGACAACTTATGAGAAGTAAAGTTGCAGACAGGTGCTCCTAGCAACTGTGAGATAAACAGAAGTGGTATAAAGAGCCCAGAGGGCAGTGTTGGCCATCCAAGTAATGAGATGACCCCTGGCTATAATTGAGGTTGTGTTTCTCTGTCCATCAGAATTGTTGGCATTCTCTTGTGTCTAGAGATGACACTACTGCCTCCTTTACCCAGAGTCATCCCTGGGAGAGAAAAGGGGGCAGCTTTCTAACAGATCATGTTCGGGTGGCCTCTTGGGCATGGGCTAGTAAGGAATTCTTAGGAAAGGACCAAGGCAGGGCTTAACCTGTGGCCCAGGGTAGCTCCAGTGTCAGTGCTGGAACCTGCTGCTAACAACTCACAAGAGCCTATGGTGTGTTTATGTGTGGTCACTTTAGTACATTGTACGGGCCACGTACACCATGGAGATCCACAGGCACTATAAACCAGGGCTTTGTTTTACGCAGATGCTGGTTGTAAAACTTGAATCAGGGAACGGCCACCCAGGAGGGATGTGTGGCAGTGGGGGTGGGGCCAGATTCAAGCCCTTTGGGTCAATAGATACTGGGGGCTGACTCAATAATGATTGGCTCTGTGTTCATGTGTGTGTGTGTGTGTGTGTGTGTTTTATCATTTAGTTCTCACTACACCATGAAATCAGATAGTAGAGACTAGGAGAATTTCTGTTCCCTGCTTCAGTCCACATTGCAACCTGGGTCGCTGTGATCCCCTTCATCTTCATCCTTAACCACAGCACCTGTAGCAGTACAGGGCGGGAGGACTGAGCCCAGGCTAGTTTCCGGTCGCTGAGGGCAGACAGTGCAGTGTGGCAGAGACCAAGGACCCGTGTGGCCCTGAGCACACACTCGGCCCATATAAGAAGTGCAAACAGGATTCTGAGCCCAAGCAGCATGGAGAGAACAGAGGGATCTGAGAAAAATTGTCCTTGGTTGCTTATTGTTCTTGCACCTTGTTGTCATGCCCCTGTCCTGAACAAACCCCCCCACCTGTTTTCTCTGTTTCTATACCCAGACGGCACAGCGCAGGTGATGAAAACTCGCACAACAGAGCAGATTGCCGCATTCTAATTCCTGATCACCAATCTCCAAGACAGCAGGGGTCCTACCAGAACTTGTGGGCTGACTTTTCCTTTACTATCCCTAGAAAGTTTTCACACTTTTAATGTGCGGAAGCATGCCTCTTCTCCCTCACTCAGTAATTCTAAAGTCGAAACTTTCCTGTTTATTTTGCAGTATCTATAAATTCACGTAATGGGGTGAGACCCAGTACAGAGAGGGTCCCTGGACCCTGTATCCAGTCTCCTGCAGAACCAGCCTCTTGCAGAGTTACAGTACAGTTCCAAAGCCAGGAGACCACAATGGGCACAACCAAGGGAGAGAATGTTTTGGACCTCACAAGACTTCACGTCATCCTCGTAGAGCCACACCCATTTCCTCTGACAGGCTCCAGTCTGTCCCACAGCTCCATGACTGAGTCACATCCTGAATGTCATTTGTGTGCAGTCACACAGAGTAGGTGCCCCAGGGACTGGGTTTTATCAGTCAGCATGGGTCTCTGGAGATTCCTATAGGCCACTGTGCGTACACATAGTTCCTGTAGGTCACCGTGTGTACCCATAGTTCCTATAGGTCACTGTGTATTCATAGTTCCTGTAGGTCAGTGTGTGTATCCATAGTTCCTATAGGTCACTGTGCATACCCATAGTTCCTGTAGGTCCACTGTGCATACCCATAGTTCCTATAGGTCACTGTGCATACCCATAGTTCCTGTAGGTCACTGTGCATATCCATAGTTCCTATAGGTCACCGTGTGTACCCATAGTTCCTGTAGGTCCCTGTGTGTACCCATAGTTCCTATAGGTCCCTGTGTGTATCCATAGTTCCTATAGGTCACTGTGTATCCATAGTTTCTATATGTCACTGTGCATACCATAGTTCCTATAGGTCACTGTGTGTACCCATAGTTCCATCCTTTGTATTAACATCCGTGGGATGGATGGTCTGGTATTGCCCACTAAGGTCCATCAGGGTTGATTCCAGTTCTTGCCTATTAAAAATTAAGCTGCTGTAGACATGAAGTATTTTACATGAATGTAGGAATTAATTTTTGAGGGATAAAAACCTCTGGCACTTTAATTTAATTTATTATTAATTTAGTGTTGAGAGACTACCAAGCTGGTTGCCCGTGTAGCTGTACCATTTCATAGTCTCATTAGCAAGGTAGGGTTGATCCAGTTTCTGCACATCCTTGCTAGCATTGCATATTTTAAGTGATTTTTTATTTGAGCCAATTTGATAGGTCTATACCGACATCCCAGGGTGGTTTGTACTTGCATTTCCCTCATGGGTAATGACATGGAACATCTTTTCATGGGCATATATGCCGACTGCATACTTCTTAGGTGGAATGTGTGTTTTCTAACTGGATTGCTATTTTACTGTTCAGTTGTGAGAGTCTTTTACATTTTCTAGATACTAGTCCTTTGTCATCTGTGTTGTTTGTAAATACATGTCTTAAAGTATTTACCTCATTCTTTTTTTACATTTTTTAAAATTTATTTGACGGGTAGAGTTATAGACAGTGAGTGAGACAGACAGAGAGAAAGATCCTCCTTCCTTTGGTTCACTCCCCAAATGGCCACTACGGCCGGCGCTGCACCGATCCGAAGCCAGGAGCCAGGTGCTTCCTCCTGGTCTCCCATGCGGGTGCAGGGCACCAAGCACTTAGGCCATCCTCCACTGCACTCCCAGGCCACTGCAGAGAGCTGGGCTGGAAGAGGAGCAACCGGGACTGGAACCCGGCACCCATACAGGATGCCGGTGCTGCAGGCAGAGGATTAACCCAGTGAGCCATGGTGCCGGCCCCTACCTCATTCTTTACTGCTTTATAGTTTTCTGGACATTTTGTCATTTTCTATTTAAGTTTGTGATTCATTTTGAGCTCCCGTTTTATAACAAGCTGTGAGACTTAGGTTGCGTTTAATTGTTTTCCTCTGGGTAGCCTGTTGCTCCAGGACTATTTGTTAAAAATATTACCTTTATCGCGTCTTGGCCTTTCACTGAGATCAAGTGTAAAAAGTCGACCTTCTGCTGTCGACTTGCTCTTCACTTTTGTCAAAATAAGTTGAACATCTTTGCTTTATTTCTTAGTTCCCTATTCTCTTCTCATCGTCTATCCACGTACCCATCTACATACACCACACAGTTTTCTTACTTTAGCTGTTTCTTGAAGCAGATTTATTTATTTATTTATTTATTTGTTTGTTTTTTTTTTTTTGAAAGATTTATTTGAGAGGCAGAGTTTCAGACAGAGAGGTCCTCCATCTGCTGGTTCACTCCGCAAATGGCCTCAACGGGTGGAGCTGGGCTGATCAGAAGGCAGAAGCCAGGAGCTTCCTCTGGGTCTCCCATGTGGGTGTAGGGACCCAAACACCTGGGATATCTTCTACTGCTTTCCTAGGTCATCAGCAGGGAGCTGGGTCAGAAGTGGAGCAGCTGAGACTCGAACTGGTGCCCATACGGGATGTGGGCACTGCATCCTGAACCAGGCTGCATTAGGAAGCTGGACTGGAGGTGCAGGTGGCAGAACGCAAGCCTGCCCTCTTATATGGGGTGGCTGTGTCCCTAGTGTGCCTTAACCCACTGTGCGATAAAACGTGCCCTGGATTATGAAATCCTCTGTGTGGTTGACCCTCTCTGCTTGGTCGGAAAAGGTGTAGATGCTGCCTGGTTACTGCTACATAAGGGGTAGAGGTCACCATTCCCTGCAGCAGCCTCCATTGAGATCCAAAATTGGTGAATTCTTTGTACTTGTGCTTGGCACATGGAAGATTCCAGCTCCTCCCTGGGTCCTAACGGACACCACGATGTGGGGCAGGGGGAGGGGGGTTGCTCATTACCCCTGATGGGTAGTCATAAAAGTCTGGTTTCCCACCACGATGCCTCTGACGCTGCCCTGGGCAGTTATGGATGGAGAGGGCTGATTTTCATCTTCCCCTTCTCTGTGAGCGCCCTAGTTGGAGACAAGCCTCACTTGAGTGCCACAAAGGTGGACGTCTAAGCTTGCCTCTTGGTTTTTGTTGGTGCAGGTGATGGTGTGGCCCATGGTCCTTTCTCTGTAATTTTTTGCCGTAGTGAAACAGTTCTTACCCAGTTTTCTGTCTTGCAAGACTGCATGTTTCCTAGTACTATTGGATACAGAGAATAGTACTCTGCTGGAGGGGCTGCTCTGTGCCCCTTGGTGTTGCCCAGTTGTGTGCTTCTTCAGCTCCGAGTCCAGGATATAAAAGAGAAATAGAAAACCTGGGGGGTTCATCTGACATGTGTTCCTCACAGCCTAAGGTCCAGCCAGTCTCCTTCCATCTCTCCACCTTCCAGAGGTCTTCTATTTTCCCTATGTGATATCCAGGGCTCCAAGTTGTCATTGGGGGACGGGAAGGCACATCTGCTCTGCCATGTAGAAGCCGAAGTCCTGGCTCAAGCTCGTTTTATTCCAGATCCATTACACAGAAATAAACCACATTGAAATTATAGCTTCTGTATAATTTGCTTGTCTTCCCAGATCTGCCAGTGACTTGCATCTGCATTCTCTCTCTCTCTCGTCTCTCTCTCTCTCTCTTGTGGTGTGTGTGGTGTCTCAATTTCCTTGCAGTATGGGAGACGTCTCTCGCAGGAGCTAAAGCCACAGCTCATATTGAATAATAGATTCTATTCAGTTCTGCTTCCCTGGGAGCATTGGAACACATTAATTATATGTACTCTCTCTTATCCATAGCTTCATCCTGTTAACTAGATTTTCCCATTGGCTTTTAAAATTGTGTTCAAGCTCTTCCATTAAGTACAAGTCAAATCCTAGCCACAAATTCCTTCTAGCAATTGCGGTGTCTCCCTGCTTCGTTCGTTGAACTTCTCAAAATGTTCTCATTTATTCATCCCCCATTCATTCCTCAACTACTCCAGTGTGGTTTTGGTTCCCATAATTTCACATCCAGTTAACTCTGCTGAAGAGAGATATTTCTTAGTGCCCTCTTTCTTCTATTAAATGTTAAAAATGTAGATTTTCCATCTGCTGGTTCACTTTCCTAAATATCTACAACAGCCAGGGCTGGGGCTGGGTCAGGCCAAGTCCAGGATCCAGGGACTCCCTCTGGGTCTCCCTTGCGGGGGTAGCAGGGGCTCAAGTACATGACCCATCATGTGCCACATCCCAGGGTGTGGGTGTGTGTTAGCAGGGAGCTGGGTGGGACGTGGAATCGTCAGACTTGCAGCAGGCACTCGGATACGGCACACAGGAGCCTGAAGAAGTGCCTTGACCCGCCCATCGAACGCCCACCTGCTCTGCTTCTCAAACTCTCAGCAACATCTTTGGTATAATGGTCACTCGTGGTTCTCGAAGCACTCTTCCCTTGGCTTCCACACGACAGCATTTTCCTGGCGTTTCCTCTACTTCTCTGGACACGTCTTCTCTGTTTATTCTCTGAACTCCTTCTTTCTACAGCAAGCGGACGTTGGCGTTCTCAGAATTCAATCACAGGCTCTCATTTCTCAACTCACTCAGATTTTTCTTCCTGGACATTCTCTTACACAACATGACTTTTGGTTATCATCAATAGGCAGACAGCATACATCTCTCCTCTGAGTTTCAGACTTGCAATACATATCTCCTCTTAGAAGCCTGCAAGTCCCTGCAAACCAATCTGTCCAGAACTGAGATCAAAATCTCCTGAGAGCAGACCTCCACCCTCTTCTCCATCACATACCCTTCCCCTGCTCTCTGAGTCAGTGAATGGCCGCATCACCCACTGAATTACAAGAGGAGGAATCTGTGTGGGGATCTGATTCGAGGTCCTCCTCTCCATTGTCTCCCGTGGTCAACACATCAGCACACGGCTGACTTATCTTCTAAATAACTTACCGTCCTGTTGCCTTGTCTCTCGTCCAAGCACACTGACTCAAGAGATCATCCCCCTCTCCTAC